CAGAGAACTTAATTGTAAATAATTGGCACGCCTGTTTTTCACGATTATTCTTCTTAATGCTCTTCAGTCGGCATTTGTGATCTTACTTTTTTTAACATATCGTGGCTTAATACTAACTGAACCAGTTACGTTATATCTTCTAACAATATTTCTCACACTGTACCGCGATAAGTCTAACAAATTTCTGAGTTTGATTTCCCAGAATTAAAAAATTTAATTATCAGTAACAGAATTTTTCTCACTAATAACCTTTCCTTTACCCATTTTGAAAACCTTAACTACCCAAAACTATTTTAAACGTATTCTGACAGCTGTGATTAATAAAAACAATTGTCATGGCTTTTATTTTTCACAGCCACCTATGCGTTATATACTTATTTTGAATTGAAATGAAAATAGGTTGATATGCTGTAATTGCAACATGTGTTCTTCTTTGTCCTGCAAATTTGATTAGGGAGTAATAAAGTTGGTGTTTTCTACTATATATTATCAAAATATTCATTGTTAATTTTTTTTAACCTGTAACACTCTGCTACATTTTTATCATTTGTGTTTGATGAGAAAAAAACTAAGATTTCAATAGTTGGCCAACTGAAGTAGGAAGGGGCTCGTATAGTCAAAATTGTTAATAAACTTGATTTTGAGGTTTTACATAGCATGAGGGTAGGGATGCTGAAACGTAATTTAACTTTTAACGCTGCTTTTGCCAGGTCATCCCCTTGTAAAGAGTGAGACCTACTTTTTCAGAATTTCACCAAGGTACTACAACTCCAACTCCACTCACTGAAATCTCAGACGGGGCGCCGCTATGTTTTCTACAATACAATATGTAGCTTCTGTTTTCGAATGATCAGCCACCGATCTGCCGATTCTAACACCTTATCCACCACACTTTGCAACATGTCGTGAACTAGGAAGTAAATAAAGGATTGGAAGGATTGGCGAGAACTGAAACTTAATGGACACATGGGCCCTGAGGAGCGAATTAAGGGACATAATCGTAGCTGGGTATAGAAGTATGACACGCAAAAATAACAGGATCAGCACTAATAGCACAGCTGGTAGCAGCAATACTGTCTGTCACATGTCGGCAGGGTTGCGAGGTTTTCAGTCGCGTTCGTCGCCAACTTTTGATGAGCAAATCGCCAGATTCACCAGCCCTTCAAAGTAAAAATTGACTATGAGTCTAATCATAAAATGCCAAGCTAGAGATTGGAAATGAAATTGTAAATTGTCATGTGGAGAGGGGGTATTTACTGTTACTGGCCTAAGGAGCCTGTTGACGATGATAATTGACGAGCGAGGTGAAAGAGAGGGGGGGGGGGGGGTAGTTACAGACGTCTAAACAACGAAACTATAAGTTCATTCACAGGAATCGGATCCAGAGCCAGATGGACATTAAGGTGTGGGGACTTCCGGGAGCGAATGTTCTTGTAATCTTGTGACAACTGTAAAACGAGGAGGGGGGTTACCGAAAACCGAAAATTGAAGAGCGGAGGGACAATAATTTTCTGCGTATCTACCTTGTCTTAGTGATCTTTTGGGGGGATCTCTCTCTCCCGGTTGTCTTACAAAAAGGGCAATAAACGTTTATTTAGCAACACTGTGTCAAAAGTGGGATGTCTTTGATATGCTAGGCACACGATACCTGACATCACATTTGACCGCCTTTGGGCTTAGAGCACAGAACTTCCGCTGGTCCTCGTTTCATGTTTCATTAACCCATACACATATCAGCAACTAATGATTACAAATATCATAAATCGCCAGATATCGCCAATTTGCTGGATACTGGGAGACATTAAAGAAGCCAGTCGCCACTTTGGCCAAAATTCAACATTCCTAACAACCCAACAGTTTAACTGTTATCTGCGGTAAAGATAAATCTCAGGTGATCCACTTACAGAATTGAGTGTTGAAACATGAATTCTCAGTCCAGAGCCACTTTTCCATGAGTTTGGGCACTAGCAGCACTGCTTCATTCCTATGCAGGAGATGTGAACAGGGAAATGGGTATGATAGTCACTTGTCTTCTGATTATCCAGCTGCCCTGTCAATACAAGAGTCTGCTTTAAGTGATGTTTGAAGCTATATGGCTAACGTAAAGGAATTGCTGAAGATCACCTTTATCAGTAGTTTGGAGTGATTTGGATTTGAAAAGACTCTGGTGAGAGCACATAAGGCAAAAGGGGGGAATGCTGAATAGCCCTCATTCAGTACATTTAACAGAAAGCTCTGGGTTTGCGTTTAATCAAATAAAGCCGCTTTCAAAGTCATTTGCTAGACAGGATCAATACTAAGAGGTATTACGTTCACTTTTAAACATGATTTAGGATGGTCTATAGTTTCAAGGACATATACAATTTTTTTGGCGTTTTCAAGCATCGTTTACTTCCCTTTCTGATTTTGAAAAATACATCGAGTATTGTAAACCTATGTTATTCAAGTTTCATCGAGAGCGATTTCCTGTACACTAAAAGATCTAAATGTCAAGGAACGCCATTACTAAGTTCGCATGCCTCTCGAAAACTGCGATTTGTAGAATCATGGATTTCTAGTGTTTTCTTGGGTCAGTCCAAATTTATCACCAGCAATCGTAGACGACCGGACAAGAAGACCATTGAAAAGGTGCAGTAGACAGCTGAAAGGAGTTTAGAAGATACCTATTTTAAATATTTGCAGACGGTAAAGGTCTGTGTACGTCAATTTTTGAGCGCAGTAAAGTATGTTGCTCTATGGGGAATGTTTCCTGGCGAATGCTCCCTGGGGAATGATACAGAATTCTCGCAGCTGTTGACATTTGTCATTCAAGATTATGAAATTCTCGATTTTCGGCAAAACAGTCTGTCCTAGGATTTTTATATCATTATTCATAACAAAATCTACTTCGTATGAAAATGATTCGGTAAGCGACTCTTCTGCCAAAGTTCAAGAATGCAGTTCTATTCAATAATTAACCCTCAGGAGATCTGAACAATTGGTGAACCAAGTACGTTTGAGAAGCTAGACCACCAACCGATAAACAGTGTAGCAGAGAAGCTGATAGGGCTAGAAACAGATATATTGTTGGACAGGTTCACAGAAAGTTATTGGTATCTCCTTGCTTAAGTTCTTAAATAACCGAGGAACATCGGCAATCTTCTGGTCCTTCAGAAGACAAGCTCTGTTGGAGGGGGGAGGGGAGCATCGGCATCACAGTCGGCTGCGGTTGTCCGTCAAGGTCACCGCCAGTCTGGTCCGCCGCGCCGCCTCGCCTGCTTGATAGTACAGTCAACTCACCACGTTCAAATTCATCATATCTGACAAAAAACGTCTATTTGGTCAAGCAAATAGCAAATGTTGATGCTGAGGCTTTGAACCTGTGCAATGAAGTTTAAAGGCTAGATGATTTTCTGGAATTTAATGGAGGTATATTTATAACAAAACATTAATGGGTTAAATTGAATGATGTTATCGATCTACCTCACACTTTCTGGATAGATATTAATCATATTACTGTAAGAAATATTCTTATAATAAAAATTGTTTTATTCTAGAAGAGATTAACCCTTGGCGGTCTTCTGGAATGACTAAAAATTTACTTGACTCCTGATTTTACTCTAACGACATCACGATAAGTACTGTGATTTAGGTTTTTATTCACAAAAGAAATAATATTCAAAGAAACAGTTTTGCTGGTGGAAATAGTAGCACAATAAAGGTTATTTTGCTGAATTCCATCAGATAACGGGATCTGTTTGTTTTATGGTTACCGATCTGGATGTTGTCCAGTTACAGGTCGAATTTCTTCATTAGACAGGCGTCATCAAGTTAGTATTTCCATTTATACAACCTAAGATGACCTGGTGCTAACAAGCTGTATGGCATTCCTCAATTTATGAACTTAGTTAATAGAATCAGGACTCTTATTCTTGAAAACGAGGGGGTAGAATAGCTGAGAGAAAATGGGCTGTCTTACCTGGAGAATGGTCCCAAATTCCGATAGCTGTGAATAATTGCAAAAGAAGTTTGTAAATGCAATTATTTTTGGAAAAATAATATGTTCCTAGGCTCTTTATAGCATTAAAAGTTTCACACCATAGTTACTTCGTCTTTAGAGTTAAGATTTATGGACGACGATGAGACTTCCGCCTTTTTCTTCCCAGAATGATAATTGAAGCGACTATTCTTAGGATTCAGGAATATAGTTACCCGAAAGGTAAGAGAACCATGCCGGCATCTCTCAGTTGTTCTATTTCCTCATATAAAGAGTTAATCCCCAGATGTGTTGCTAACCCTCTAGCACAGGGTTTCCCAACCTTTTTTTGTTGAGGCTCCCCGGACTATAAGTTATATATATATATATTTATTACTTTTTCAATAATTACAAAAAAACGCACGTTATATAGGTACAAAGACTTTTATTTTAATTCTAATAAAGAAACTTTAAAAGTTTGAATGAACTAATAAATGTTTTTTATCGAGAAACTTGAATAAAATAAGAGTAGGTACTGATGAGACACTTGAGATTGCATGTTCTGTGTTGGTTGATTCTAGGTTCTGTTTTTGCCAGAGCTATCATCAGGTCGCTATCGACATCAAAACGATCTCGCTGTTTAGTTTTAATTAAATCTAGAGCAGAAAAGCTTGTCTCACATAAGTAAGTTGAAGAAAAAGCAACCAGTATTCGTAAAGCAAGAGAGGTAAGTGTCGATTTAACAGGCAATCTTTCGATCCAAAATTTCTCCAATGTTAAAAGATGGAAGTCATCTTTCATGTACGAATTGGCCTTTATATCTAGAAATTCTTCCAGAACTTCTTCTGGTAATTGTGACACATCGACAACAAATGGATTTCTTGTCATGTGCCATATTGGTGACTCTGAATTGATGCCTCGATAGTATCGGCGAAATTCGTCTTTCAGCGCTTGCAAATCAGTTTTTATGTCAGCTTTTAAATTTGCGTCCAGTATGTTATTTTTAATTGCTTCGACCAGCCCAGAAAAAGATATAACATTTTCAGAAGACACTTTATGATTCCAAAGTTGAAGCTTTGTATATAAACCCCTGAATATAATCATAATTGCTTGTTTCTGCCCTGAAGTTTCGAGTTTAGCTCATTCAAGTAGTCAAATATGTCAGTTAAATAAGCCAACCTCCATTGAAATGTCTAATTTTTGGACATTGTCAAGAAATCGAGTTTTTCTTTATACTCAAGAAAAAGAATTACCTCTTCTTTCGATTCATAAAGGCGAGCCAACATGTTGCCTTTGGACAGCCAGCGTACTTCTGTATTTAATAGAAGAACCTTGTGATCAGAATCGAGATCCTCGCAAAGTAAAGTAAATAACCGACTGTTTAAAGCGCTGCTCTTGATGTAGTTTACAATCCTTATAGCCGAGTCCAAAGTCTGGCATAATTTCTGTGGCAATGTTTTGGAAGCCAAAGCTTGCCGATGAATAACACAATGTGTACTAACCTATGCCCAATCGTACACCTATCATTGCAGGTGCGCCATCTGTGGAAAGTCCAATGAGTTTCTTCAGGTCAAATAATTTCTTTCAACAAAATTTTATATTGAATTAAATACACACATCATCAAAAGTGTTGGACCCCCTGGCGTACTGGGAAACTATAGCCTTCTAATTTCAATCTTCGATATATTTTAAATTGGGGATATTTTTACTATATTTATTAAACAAAACGTTAAATTAATTTCATTAATATGAGAAGAAAAAGAAAGTTTAACAAGTAACGTACCAAAAATTTTATTCTTAAAAATCAAAATTAAAGAAAAATAATTATTCTAAAGAAAAATAAAACATAATTAATAACCAGTTCGGCATCCTCTAGATCTTAGTAGTGCGTTAACACGCCTTGGCATTACTATTATTCGGTGGTTAATGTTTTCTGGGGGTAAATTATTCCACCCTTCATTTACTGCTGCAGCCAGCTCACTTAGGGTTGTAGGTGGATCTGTTCTGTTCCGTACGGCTCGAGCTATAGTATCCCAAATGTTTTCAATGGGGTTCATGTCTGGGCTGTTCGCAGGCCACGGCAATCTCACTATTTTCCCCCTTTCTCGAGCCCGCTGGACCCTTCTCGCTCTATGTGGCCTTGCATTATCATCCATAAAAATGAAGTTGTTACCGAATTCATTTCGCAAAGGTTAAATAATGGGTTGTATGACATTTTCTTCATAAATTTCTGCAGTCATTGTCGCTTGGATCTCCGGTGGTTAAACATTATGCCTCCCCAAAACATTATTGATCTGCCCTGATATGGGACAACTTCTCGGACCAAATTTAGTCGCTGTTGCTGTCCTGGTTCTCTCCAAACCCTTATTCTATGGTCATCACTCACCAGTCCAAACCTAACCTCATCTGTATATACCACATTTCGCCACTGTGGTAAAAGCTACTCCTGATGTTCTCTAGCCCACTGGAGACGAGCAGCAATTTGTCTACGAGTAAGACGTGGAACCCTTAAAGGTCTTCTAGGGCGCAAATGTGCCATTCGCAATCTTCTTCTGATGGTAGACCTGGAAATAACTCTTCGAAAGGTATGTTGGATATGCGATCTGGTAGCTGTACTTGTTGAAAATCTATTCCTTCGGGCAAATAGAGCAATGTAACGATTCTCCCTATCATCTGTTACTCGAGGACGCCCACTGCGTGGCCGATTTTCAACTGAGCCAGTTTCTTGGAATCTTTGAATTGTTCGAATAACCGAACTTCTTGGGTTACCCAAATCCAGTGCTATTCGGTGATTTGAAAATCCAGGTTGGAAGAGGGCTACTATTCGTGTTCTATCAAAACCAGAAATTTCAGCTCGCGGCATTTTAAAAGTTACAGTATAAAATTTTATTTTAATATATACTTTTTGCTCAAACACTACCGTTAAACTGACTTATTTCTATAAAAATCCAAACACATTTTTATCTCAACGGTTTTTTGCGTTTTTTGCTTGCTAAATATATATAGATTATTTGTTCACAAACAGAATGTAGATAACGTACCCCGAGGCGGATTTATACAGGGGGTCTAACACTTTTGATGATGAGTGTATATCTTCAGATGTAGTACCTGCTGTGAAAGATTGGGAGTACAAAATCTCTTCTTGAATGATATCTCGGCTGTTGAAACGAACATAAACTATTAACTGTGCACAATTGACGGTGGACTCATCGCAACTAATGGCAAAAAATGGCGATAATTTTACTTTGTTAATTATTTGTGACTTTATGTCTGCTGCAATGTCATCGATTCTACGATTGACTGTGTTATTCGAAAGAGAAGTAGATTTAATTTTTTGCTCTGCATCTTCTCCTAAAATTATCTGCGTGGCTTTTAGGACACATGGTTTTATTAATTCTTCACCGATAGTATGAGGTTTATTTTGCTTTGCTATCATAAAAGCTATTTCAAATGAAGATTTGAGATGCTGCGATACACCTGTGTGATAACTTCCCGATTTATCCAGTCTTATCCGCTTGAGTGATTCTGCTTTAGAAGAAGAAAACTCGTTCGTCTTCAAAACCAGAGTAGGATGTTGTTGCTTCAAATGCCTTTCAAGACGATTAGGCCTCATGCTATCATTACTTAAAACTTTCATACATATCACACACTGAGGCAATTGTAACTCGTCATTTTCTATGAAGGTAAATCCACACTTAACGTAATCTTCGGAAAACCATCTATTTTTCGCTGCCATTTTGCACCTATAACAATAAAGCAAATAAGTAATAAATAAGTAAGCAAAATACCTACATTTAATTACTAATTATATGCCCATTATTTTATCTTAATAACGTAATGTATTCAACGGTATATTGGCCACCGGTGCATTTATATTTTTGGTTTGATTGTGATGTGGTAAAAAAGTCCCAATGGCCGATCTATGAACGCGTCTCCACTTAATCAACCATTTAGTAAATTAAATAAAAATGGTAACGGAAGTTTGTAAATACACAAACTTACCTTTTAACAGTGCGACACAATAATTTGACACACTCAAATAGATTTCTCAACAAAACATGTACATCGAAACGTCAAATTTTTTGCAAGTTTGTGGGAATGAATGTCACAGATGATCATCCGCGTCTGGAAGGTACACAATTGTTTTCTAAGTGATGAATGTTAAGCGTAGCGCGGCTGGGACTTGTCGAAACTTGTTTAAACTGCGATTGACGACGCCGGGTTTTGAGACAGCGGTTTTTCAGAATAAGTGAATATGACATTTAATTTCTGATTTTATGCGTGTAAATCAAACGTTACATTGTAATGTCATTTTTTAATGTTGTATGTTCATTTTCTTTTTGTTTTTTCTTTCTAAAATGCAAACGCTTTCCGCCCTCCTTGACAACTCTCTATGCGTACCTTGGGAGGCGCGCCCCCCTGGTTGGGAACTCCTGTTCTAGCAGCTGCTGCAAACTTTCCTACGTTAACCACACTATCACAACGCGGGAGCAACGATCACCGAGTCCGATAATAACGACCTAATAAATGCCTTGGGATGCAGCTCGGTTCGAGTGTAGCCGGTCCGCGGGTCCGCGGTCCCGAGCGATGCAACGTCGAGCCAGGATTTATGGGTGCAGTTCCATTGCGGCGGATGGTCGGACCATTGCATTGGATACTGGACGGCCGCATAGTGGGACGAATGACCAATCAAGCTGGAAAAAATGGCGTCGAGTAAGTTGACTCTGCACTTCCCACGCAACGCTGACATCAGTCCATAAAGGATTATTATTATAAGAAAAACAGTTAACTACGAACATGTATAACACAAAAAAATCAATGGAGCAAGTGAGCCAAATAGACCCATAAATTAGTCCATATGGCCTGTCTATCCCAGAAAAACATTAAGCAAAAACATGACCAGCGCGTTTTCAGTGCGTCTAGCCCATATACAGGATCAATGCCACACCAGGGAGGTGGAGTGGGAGACGAGGCAACGATGCATGCAGGCTCGCCGTTTTGATTTAGTTTCTTTCTTCGACAAATGAACTACACCCCCACCAATTTTATAACGCTAAGATCTAGAAACTTGTTCCCTGCCCTGCAGCTCGAGCAATGTAACGTTGGAGGGATTAAGCAGTTTTGTGGGGGTAAGTTTGTAGCGTACGGTGAGTACGACATAGACGCGACATGCCGTTTGATATTTCTCCAAGCTTTAAGAGCAAATGTACGGGGAAATCTATGATATATGTGCCAATAGGCGAGTTGAATTGGTGGAGCCAGAAGCGTATGAATATACTACCGACAAAAAAATTAGATATACTCTCCCCCACCTCCTACAACCCCAACCCCTATTTAACCCATTTCATTTTATTTTAACGCCTAAAAATTTCTCGGACAATGCTGTTTAATAACTTTATGTTTATTTACTATGTTTTTATTTGTTTTAAACACAAATTAGTTATTGCAGTGTCGTCTCCAAATCAATCCATCGCCTCTCACTATTTCCACTAGGCTCATTTTCCGTCCATATCCGGTGATCCCATTGCCAGAGGGGCGTAATCTTTTGCAAGCGATCTTTCCCTCTATCATAAGACGGAATTTTTGGGGATTCGTACAACTGGTTTTTGGGTTACTAAAACACAGGGACATCTCCTTGATCTTCCGAGTTTATTACGAAAGGTTAGGTAGATCTAATTTATAATGAAAATACACAAAATTGAACCATCTGGTTTTATTGTAGTATTTTTCACTTGCGTTGATATCTGATTCACGAAAAGGTTTACAAAAACTCAAAAACTATTAGTATAAAAAGAAAACCTGGCATCATTAAATTTGACTGACGGAAAAGTCAGTAGCTTAGCTGTAACAGTTGCGGAGGTGTTGTGTTGTGTTTTTCTCGATAGATTGTCCAATATATCAAAAATTTAGACATAAAATCCTATATGATACATACAATTGCTCCGTTTGAAAGGGCCTATCCCAGTTTGCAATAAAATGTAGGTCTTTCCATATAAAAAATCTTATTATGTATCATCAGGTAGTTATGTTTTACTCTGTAGAAATAAAGATATGTTACAGGTAAGGAGCATACCATTGGCGTATTTGTGATTAACTTTTTTAGATACCATGCGCAGTAACGTCGTTATCGACCGACCCCACACTAAAAACTCACCCTGTATATAGACATAGCAGTCGAATTGTGTAAGTTACCCTAAGCTGCATTCAAAACTTAGATTTGCCAAAATAGACAAGATTTCCCATGATAAAACTGTAAAATGAACCGACGGATAAAATATCTGTGCGATATGAGTACCTGTAGTTCCCTTTTCATACAATTACGCCAAAATATAAGGAATGATTCTTTAATTCGTTTCACTGAATGAAGTTTTTGTGAAATCCGTGTATCATTCTGAAATATAAGAATTCATCTGATAAACATTTTGATAGTCAATATTTAAAAAAAAGTTCCGTATTGTGGATTTAAATCACAAATAATAAAATTAGGGTCGATGAAGCGGGGATTAT